AGGGGAGACGAGACGAATTAGTACTGAAAGCCTGATCTGCTGTTGTTTGCTTGGGGTCGGTGCAGCTTTTATACTTGCATGCCATGGGCCTTCAATAATTTGGTGTATAATGAGTCTTCCAAGGAAATCCAGACAATTAGGGTTAGGGTTTGGGTTGTAAAATCTTAGGGTTTTACTAAGAGAGAGCAAGATGTGGAAACTATATCGATTATGTTACTAAGGAGTCAACATGAACAATTATGATATGACTATTTTTCTTTTTTATGTGTGGTTCGTATTTAAATAGATATACATTTTCAAAAAATATTATCTAAGACTAATTTGTGTAGATATCTCTTCCGAATAATTATAATGAGGAAAATATCAAATCAACTTGGAATGGATTCAAAATGATATTACTGCATGAATCGGAATTATAAATCCTCCTATTTTCATCTATATACATACAACAGTAATGCCAATCGAAGATTATTCATATACAAGACACCCAGACAGCCTAATACCTATCATTTAGAATAACCTGGCGAATTCTAGAATATTCATGAACATGATCTTAGAGTAGCCTTGAACACTAAAAGCGCTTTGCGTTTGCATATTAGAACAGAATGACTTAGCTTGATCATGCACTATATACCAGCCTCCACTCCAAGCTAGGAATCAAATTCCATGCGGGCATGCAATCAATCCCACCCACTTCAACCCCTCAATCGTTCACAATAATGCAAAAGGAGGGCATGGATTCACTCCGGTAAAGTTTATTAGCTTCATAATTTAGAGCATCGAGTTGTCTGCGTAGGTTCGCTCCCAACGAGGGCATGCATGCACTCGATCGGCCCCATCTTAATTCCATCAACAGATAGAAAACGAATAATATGATCCACAAGACGCGTTAGGGACGACGTCGGGGCCGTGTGGAATCGATATGAAGTAGGTGACCCTGTGATCGGACATGACACAACACGCATGGAACGCATTACATCTACGAGATCAGCAGACACTGTGAATACTTTGCTCATCAATTATATATAGCTTTGACAAAGAACGACGAGCCACCTCGTTGTTCTCGTTTCAAACTACGTACACCTCCCAATGGCAAGTTGATGGGGGAAATGGCCTTTGTTTTGTCGAAATTTCTTTCTTTTGAATGAATATTCTTAGGTGCCATGGATATCAAGTGCTCATGTAACCTCGAGTTTCAAGGAAATCGATGCTCTCATGTATACACTCATCGCTATGGACATCATCATTTGTCTTTGCCTTTGGTTTGGAGGGTTCACCGTCCGAGCTTTTCACGAACAACGAGATGATGTCTCTGGTTCTTCCATCTGCACTCTACGCAACTCGAGAAAAGTTAATGGTGTCTGCATCTAAACGAGATGAGAGGTTAGACTTCGCACTTTGGTGTTTTTGACATCACGAGGTCACAAAATAGAAAGGGAACTACGTGATTGCGTTTAAATCATCCTAACCAGAGGTGAAGTGAAGTGATGCATAGACTTAGGAGTGCAACAAATCAAAATCATATATATATATATATATATATATATATATATATAGTA